CGTGACGGGGAAGTAAGGAGTACCTGTCGGCTGGAGGGGGACAAATTTTGTGCAACTCTTCCCTTCCTCTGTATATGCTATGTGCAAGACCGATTAAAATTTATCATCCCAAACCGTACTGTATCTTTGGAATACGTGTATTACAGTTGGTGCTGCTGCGCAACACATCGACGGCGAATAGTCAGCCCTTCTAACTATATGCTTAATGAATGGATTCGGGAAACTATGATCAAGCTGAATGGAAGTGGCGTGCGCGTGCTAGAATGTTTCAAAGAAAGGGAAAATGCGCGATATTTTAGTTCAGTTCATTTGTTTTCTGTAAAGCAGCATGCAAGGAGAACTCACGAAAGCCAATTTTTTCCGACAAATCGAGCGGCGGCAAAGTGAACGCAAGCGTGGTAAGCATGGCAATAAGCAGTGATGGTATAATCACGTTGAAGCCATAATAAAATGTTCGACGGCGTACATTTAGGAAGAATTTCACGGAATAGTATGGCTCCGAGCAGCACTTGTAATAGGTCTCTTCGCGTTTAACCGATGTACCTGGATCAAACCATTTTCGATTAACACACAGCATATGAAAAACACTATATTCTGAGAAACAGAAGTAAAATTCTGGTCACGCCGGAGACGATATACCGAGAAATGGCATGAGGAGTTACCAAGCTGCCCGTTCAGAAAAGAGGAACGTGCCGCAACAAATGTATAGGTTTGCAGTAGCCGTAATTTTGATTACAAATGGGAAAACAATGTTTTCCCTTTCAACTGTGCTTCCGATTTTGATGTAACTAACCACGGACCGTCCATTCGCCACTTGGGATGTAGTCCGACAAATCCATTGATGGCTCTGAAATTTTACAGAATAAAAATAGGATTTGGAGTTTTGAAATTATCATCCTGAAGGACACTAGTCTTCTTGAAAAATCATCAAATCTCGCCTTCGCCCGGCTTCGTGTCAACTTTGAGATCCAGCGCTAAGCCATTGTATGTCCAGGAGCCAAACTGAAATATCCAACACTAGACAGCAAAGAAAAAGCTTCGACAAGTTTGTTTTGTTAACAAATTTGGATTTTTGTTAGATTTTGATATAACTTAAGTAGCTCGAGAATTTTCCCAAAAAATAGCTTTTAAGTTCGGATGCGATTTGAGGTCACCTTGAGAGAACAGGAAAGGTCGTCGAACGGGAACCAGGTGACATCGATCTTGCAGGACGTGCGGAAAATGCCAGGCGGAATCCACGTTACATCACCGTTGCTGTACACTAACATTTGACTTTTATAAGTCGAGTCGAAATTTTCAGCACCACTGAAATAACTTTCTCTAACAGAAGCATAATATTTGCAGATCTGGCAGGTATTAGAGGTGAATATTTCTAATCAGTCAATCGCTCTTGATTACTGCCTATTGCATATAATACCTCGAACATAAAGGAAATAGGAAGACCTCCCATTTATCTTTTTTTTCCTTCTTGCAGCCCATTAGAGAACGGAGACGACAAAATGGGAAGACAGTTTGGAAGAAAAGAGTCAAAATCAACCATACATCACTGGAAAGCTGAAAAATGAGAAGCTACAAAATTCTGGCGAGGATTCGTTGAATCGTATCGATTGTCGTAGATGATAGGCAGAAATTTTGGTACTGGGATGGATAGGACAAAAACTGGCAGGAGCCAGAAGATTACGCTTTTTCATAGTGGGGAGCACTGGACAGTGAGTGAATCGTTTCTTCCCCGACCTGGATGTGCATGTAACTAAGCCAGTTCTGCAGCAACATGAATATTCCATAAACGAAAAGGGTTAAAGACGAGAACAGAACCTGTTGTAGAGCAGAATATCGGGGCGCCACAACATATCGCTTCTGAAACGAACACTTTCAATCTCCTTATACTCGGAGCGATTCCAGACCAATCGGTAATCATTCCATTTCTTAAAAGCAGTAAAGATCAGTGGACAAATATTCCGAGGAACATCCTGGATCAGCTCTTGCAAACATAAATGTGCTTGAACGTCAGTGATCGTACCTGCATAATTCGTAGTCAGATGTTTTTTACAGTATTTAACACAACAACATTACCGTAACCTTTTGTCAGAGGGGTTGCAGCAGTGCTATCGGGTAACATACTCCCCCCATGTTTTTGTTGCACTTAGCAAAGACAATTCTCTCTGGTGTGTTTCCATTGATCGACTTGCGCCAATAGCGATATGGAAGTCCCCCTCTTCAGTTTTGGGTAGTCTATATCAGTAGAGGCATATTGTTTTCGTATTCGGTTGCCAAAACTGTTGCTTTCATAAATTTTGGGATATCCAGTCGCCTCTGTTCAACTCGAAGGAAGTCTTTCCCTTGATCTGCTGAATAGACACAACGCTGCTCTTACATCCTTGTGCTTATCGTGTTACGGACATAATAATGAAGTTTCATCTTGGCCCAAGAACAGAAATGAAGCACCGGACATAAATTTCTAGAAATTCACTGAAAAGTGAAGCATTTTTCCTGTCATTCTGAAAATGCGTACAGTGAGCATACAGCAAGCATCGAAAATTCACTCATTTGAAAATGAGCGAATTTTCGGTGTTTGCTGTACGCGTTTACGCCTGTTGACGTGTGGAATTCGAAAAAAAAAACCGACACAACTACAAGAGCTTGATTAATAACAGGTTGCACAAAAAAGCAAATAAACTGTTGGAAAGAAAAAAGCAGAAACCTGATTCCATATTGACAGTTTTGCAGAAATTGAGGCAAAGAACCACTACATATTTTCGCGATTAGGTGTTTCTGGGCACAGTATGTGGATAAGATTGCATCCTTCCAAGCGGATAAGTAAAAGAAAAGGTAAGTGCGAATTAACTGCCCTACCTGATATCACAAGGTTGCTTAAACCCGCAGAGTTGGAGCTTCAATCTTTTCAGTTGACTTGATGCAAGTTAAGTTTTGGACTTGAGATTTCGGCTTTGGATTTTGGAAAAATGGACGACTATTTCTAAAGTCTGCGAAAGAAAATCATCTAAGTTGAATCAGAATTCCAAATTCTAATCCCTGATGTATAAAATTATTGGGATTTCGGTCCTAAGGTACAGACCAAATTGTTAGAAACCACAAAAATTAAAAATAAGTCTGCTGCTTTTCAAGACTAAAAAAGTCCGGTTTTCAGCTTTTACTGTTCAAGAGAACAAATGTACAAGTATGTAACCTGATTCCAGTTGCAAATTTACAAATATACTGAAAATTGCAAAACTGCTTACATATTCGAGCCAGGCATTGAGTTCAATTGCCTGATTGCGGTCATCCTAAATGCAGCAAATCAACGGAGATTTAGTAATGTCCTTATCTTTACAAATCTTGTTTGCCGTGTACTGAGGACGCATAAGAAGGAAAAAAACGGTTTATGAACTGCATTTGAGCAAGGATTAAGGTTATGCTGAGACTAAATTCACACAATCAAAACAAGTAGTCCAAACATATATAGCCATCTATAATGTAGGTGCATATATATGCCATCTGTCGGGGAGGTAAATTTTTCAATGGACTGCAATGTTCGTAAGTGAATTTGCTTGTTCCAGATAGATGCCTCAGTATTAAACGTCAAGCCTCATAGTGTACGAAAATTACATTGCGTGACGCTTCCACGCAAATACTGCAAATGAAAAAATTGATTAAAAGTCTGTATGAAGGGACTGACCAAGAGTACGATTTGCTGCAGGAATAGCCGAATGGTCACTCGCACTGCGTTACTGCTGTTCGCCACTGGACGCACCAACTTGTTCGACCTTTTCAGCAGTTTTCTGCAAATACACTTATTCGGTCATTCCCCGTTTCGCATCATCTAAATTTGCATGTCAAATTTTAGAAGCCGCAGAGATGCTTTCATCGGGTAAATTTGTCCAGGATTTAGGATTTGACGTAGACGGTGAGGGAGTTCGGATCATTTCAACCGAACACTGCTTTCCGGCACTGTTGCTGTGTTGTTGATGGCAGTAACCCACTTACTGGTAGAGTTCGCTTTCCAATGGACTAGTGCTGACGTGTGTGGTAGCATAGCAAAACAGGCAGTACAAGGAAAACGCCACCGAAAGCTTTCTGGCCGGCATATCCACACTGACTCTGTCTATTTACATAACACTTATTCCCAGCTTTCGAAACTCAAGTGCGGCCTGCCGTACCTCCAGTGTAGCCACTGCATTCTTTTCTGAACTGTGCTTTCGATGACTTGGACCGGATGCTTTCCCAATAGTAACCCTCCCTTGTTTTCAACTCGTGCTTCGGTCTATCCAAAGCTTTCATTCGGCGCTTTAGCACTTCAATGTATCAGCTTGCTCAATTCACTTCAGAGTTTTATTTTTAGGATGTCATCCTTACCGACGATCGCGTAGTTCTTCAGACTCGGGAGGAGAGACGATGGGCACAGGGGGGGGGGGGGGGGGGGGGGGGGGGGGGGGGGGGGGG